CCCCAGTGCCAGACTCTGTCTGTTCTAAGGAGCCTGAGAGTTTGCAAGCTTTCAGCCCACAGCCGGGCTGAGCTACCCCTCACACTCACAGCCCTACGATTTCCCAGCGGATCTGGCTGGGGACAAGAAGATTAGAGGCTGCTGGAGGAGGGAAGCTCATGCCAGCCCACACAGCCCCCTCCCTGGCCGCCTAAGGAATTGGGCTGCTGCCTGGCGTGGGTGGAAACAAGATTGCCGTTGAAATGGGAAGTGATGATCAGGCAGGGGTGGAGAGCGGCAGCAGCATTACTGCCAGGGAAGCACCAGAAGTTGGACTTCTGAAGCTGAGATATGTGTGGGTGGATGGAACTGCCCAGGTACCCCCCACCCTATCCTGCCCCCAGCCTGGACCCAAGACTCCTGTATATCAGGGAATACAGGGCCAGGTGTGGCTGAAGGCTGTGGGGGACCCAGAGCAGGCCACCAGGGACAGAGGTGGGCCATGCCTGCTCTGGTGGGCAAAGGCTGAGGGCCAGATGAGAGGTCAGTGTAGACAGCAGCTCTGAATTACATCACATTCCCCACCCCACCCTCCAGTGACAACTTAAAAATGGCTACCAGGTGTCAAAAGTGGTCATCCATAGAGACAGGATAGGACTGCCTACTCTTAACTTTCTATACTGTCCACATGAATATGTGTTACTTTTAAAGCAAAGGCATGTTTCTGAGGCTGCTTTCATCAGCATTCTCATTCCTAGCTGCCTGACCAGTATGGAGTCACCTGGGGGAAGGCTCTCAGGGGCTCATGAGACACCAGAACAGGGGCTCAGAGTGGATTTCCAAGGAGAACTGTACTCCCACTGTCACATGCGACCCTGCCATCAGGCGCCTGGGTGGAAGAGACACTGAGCGCGTAGCAGGCCTGGTGATGCTCCTGCGCCATCTGACCCCTGTGTGGGAACCAGTCCACTGCCATCTTAATTGACCCACCATGAAACTGGGAAATGCCCCCAAGCCCAGCCCCTTGCCACACAGCAGGAGCTCTCTTTTTAAACAGAAGCTAAAGCTTCACACTTGCAGGATATCTTTACAGCAAGCAGTTGTCCAGAACTACCAAATACTAAGAGGTTACATACATCCCTCAAGGGATCTACATTCGTAAGCCCTAAAAACTGACCTCAGTAAAGCATGTGCCATGTGGAACTCCTAAGCCCTCAGCCCCTCTGACTTGCCAAAGTATGTCAGGCCTTCTCTCTCACGTCACTCTCCAGGTATCTCTTGCTGCCACACACAGCCACTTCTCTGTGGCTTGACCCTATAGTTAGCCCAGGTGCCTGAGGGCTTCCTGTACCCTCCTGGCCTCTCTTTCTGCTGTTGCCTCCTTCTCTGCCCAGGTCTCTGTGTCCCTCACCTAGAAAGCTGGGACACAAGTAGAATGTGTGCCACAGCAGCAGCCCCAGATCTGTGAGCACTGAGCTGGCCTCTGCGGGGAGCTCAGAGGCAGGTCACTACCTCTCCTTCACCAACAGACACATGTGCTCCTTCCCAGGAAAGCTGCAAGAGCTCCAAGGTGCTTCTGGGAGGAATTCTGTCTTGTCCCTGCCAGGACTCACACTTTCCAGGGAGGCGCCCTGTGCCCCCCATGACCCCATAGGCCCCGTTACCCCATGGCAGCAAGAAGAGATGAAGGGAAAGAACCTGTGTTCATAAAAAACTGGCACCAGAGCAAGGCTCTGCCACCCACTTCCTGTAACACCCTGGTTCTGCCACTGAACCTGAGCCAGGACACAGAGACCTGGTTCTGAACATCCTCCATTCACATTGTGTCTGAGCCCTTAGAAAGAGGAATTCAAATTTTCTTTTGTAGCCAAGCCCTCCATATTCAAGAGAATGAGGGGTTAGGATAAGGGATCTGGGTGTGGGCCTCAGAGCTGTTTGTTATAAGAAATCCTTAAGGTCCCTGTGCCTTGGTTACCCCAAAATGGACCTGAGGCAGCATGTCCATGACATGGCACAGTACCCAACCCACTGCCTCCGCAGGTCCTGAACCTCTTCCTGGCCTTGCTGCTCAGCTCCTTCAGTGCAGACAACCTGACAGCCCCTGATGAAGATGGTGAGATGAACAACCTCCAGCTGGCCCTGGCCCGCATCCATCGGGGCCTGTGCTTTGTCAAGCGGACCACCTGGGACTTCTGCTGTGGGCTCCTGCGGCGGCGGCCCCAGAAGCCTGCAGCCCTTGCCTCCCGCAGCCAGCTGCCCAGTTGCATTGGCACCCCCGGCTCCCCACCACCTCCAGAGATGGAGAAGGCACCTCCAGCCCGCAAGGAAACGCGGTTTGAAGAAGTAAAACAGCCAGGCCAGGGCACCCCTGGGGATCCAGAGCCTGTATGTGTACCCATTGCTGTGGCTGAGTCAGACACAGATGACCAAGAGGAGGATGAAGAGAACAGCCTGGGCACTGAGGAAGAGTCCAGCAAGCAGGTGAGCACCCATGCCCACGTGTGTGCAGCACCTGCTGTTACAGGCCCCAGTGCACCGCTATTCAGGGGACCCAGCCTTGTTCAAAGCAGCTTCCCCAGCCAGACTGCCTCAGTGTCGAGTGGACCAGGGGTAGAAGACAGGCCCTCCCTCTGACAGCTGGCTTCTCAGAGTGATACTCAGCCCAGCTTTCAGCCCTCTCTCCCTAACCCAGTCCATGGGGGGACTCGGAGGTACTGTTGTCCTCTGCCTGGTTCTGGGGACCTGGTTGTACAGACAGGGACATTGAGGCATGGCAAGAGAGAAGGCTTACCAGGAGTTCCTCATAAGTCTAGGATAGAGCCCCTGGCCTCCAGTTCCTCCCATCAACTATTGTCCCCCTCCAGAACCAGCAAGGTGGAATGTCTCAGTGAGGGAGGAGTGTGGTGACCTCCAGACTGTCCCCTCCTCCCTCACCCAGGGCTAACTATGAGATTTAAAAATAAGCATCCCTAAGACGGAGTGTCAGGGACACCACTATCTTATCTTCTAACCTGTTATTTTTAACACTTGGGACAAGAGTCTGGGCAAAGCAGACAGCCCCCCCCCCCTCAGTTTTCCCTTGGTCTGAGCCAGGTTCCAGTGTCTTCTCCTTAGGTCTTTAGGTCAAGCAATAAGGGGTGGCTCTCTTTTGAGTTGAGCCCATCCTGGCTGCTTCCTCTGGCTTGCACTTGGTCGGCCTGGCTATGGAGAGCAGCCACTCTGCACTTGTGGAACTTGATCTGTGGCTCTGGGGTTGGTTTCACATCCTCCTGCCTCCCTATTGTCCCAGAGGCCCACCCTGTCCTTTTGAGTCAGGTTCTGGGGTGGCAGCTTTGTCTGTTGGGAAAGGGGGGTGGCATTGCCAGGACCACGGCTTCCAATTATCTTTAGCATAGGAGTGGGATTCTGGCTGCCCCTCCTTTTCTTTCTCCCTCCTTTCTTTGAGCCTGTTGACTCTGGCTCCATGATGCTGGGGTGTGTGTGTGTGTGTGTGTGTGTGTGCGCGCGCGCGCGCGCGCGTGCGTGCATAGGGTACCGTAGGAACTCACTGGGGAAGTCAGCGTCCTTCCTAAGTGTCAGCATTTGTGTGTGGGGCATTGTGGCCCAGCTGTACCTTCTAGGGAGTCAGGAAAGGGAGTTATACCAGGGTGGCCAGTGGTTTGTCTGGCTGTAGCCCCTTTGCCAGGACCCACCAGGAGGCTCCCACTTGTCCATGTGGTGCCCCTGAGGGAAGGTGTCTTCAGTCAGACAGAGAGATCATGAGGAGAGCAGGAAGCAGTACCCCAATTGCTTGGGCAGGGCCTGAGGGCTACAGGGCCAGGGCCCTAGAGACCCACTGCCTGGGTGCATGGGCACAGTTCATGGGCTGGGGTCTCTTCAGCAGGAATCCCAGCCTGTATCCGGTGGCCCTGAGGCCTCCCCAGAGCCCAGGACCTGGAGCCAGGTGTCAGAGACCGCCTCCTCCGAGGCTGAGGCCAGTGAGTCTCAGGCAGACTGGCAGCAGCAGCAGAAAGCAGAGCACCAGGCCTCAGGGTGCAGTGAGGTAATAACACACCTTTGTCCCTGAAGCCAGCTGGGCACTGCTGCTTGGGCTGAAGCCAAGCTGTATAAGGTTCCAGGACAAGCCTTGCTATTGGGAGTACAGCTGCTGCCACAGGCAGCATGGGAGGCCAGTCAGCAGAGGGGAGGGTGGCACCCCTGTCCTGACAGAGTAGAGATGGCATACGGCCCTGGGTGTTAGCAAAATTCTGAAAACATCCAGCCTGGGACTCTGATACAGGACTAACCCATCACCTCCATGAGTTCACCCTCTCCTCACACTGTGTCTCTGTGTTTTGGTCCTGTTTAGCAAATGTTTGTCCTGTGAATCTCCTTAACCAGAGAGGACTTCAAAGGGTTTCTGAGAACACATTCTTGGCATAGTTGCCACCTACCAGCTGCCTCTTACCTGAAGCAAAGCAGAGGCCATGAACAGGAGGCCCATCCAGCCTGCCATTGGGTTTTGTTCTGCCCACAAAAAGGTTTTACTTTGAATTAGCTACCATCATTTAAAACTTGGTGGCTTTTATATAAAAATCATTATTTCTAGCTTCTCTTGAATGACTGGAAAAGGTGCTACCCTGCCAAAGACAAGTAGGGCTCTTAGCTGGGGCTCTCTGGTTTGTCACAAAGCCACCTACCTACCTGACTGCATTCCCTTACTTTCTAGCTCTGTAAGCATTGAGCTTGGAACCCCAGAGTTAAGGGCTGGTGGCATTGCTGACTGTGTGGAGGTCACATGATCAGAGACTGCACATGGTGGCTGTTGTCCTGCTCCTCAGTCTAGCACTTGTGACTTCTTCCTTTTGTGCGATGGGCTCATGGGCAATCATGGCTTTGTGACATGGCCAGTTTTGGAGCGCAAGGGCATAGTGGAGTCATCATCCCAACCGTGTAGCTCATGGTTCTCTCTCTGGATGTTCGAATACTGGAAGGCATGTGGGAACAGGAAGACACAAGAAAGGCAGGTCACAGGAGAGGACTCTAGCAGACTATTCTTACAAGAAATGTTGGTCTTTGAGCAAGTTTTATAATTTCTTCCTTTCTTCAAATAAGCTCCTGGTGGAGCCTATAAAAGAGAAAAAGATGGGCTGGGGTTTTCCTGGAAAAAAGACTTCCTTGTCTCATTTGCAGTAGGATCCTGAGCACTTGTCTTCCCACATGACAGCCCCATGTGCTGGAGAGAAATACAGTGTAAAGATCTCTGGCCTGGCAGTCACAGCCCTGCTCCTGCTGAGCCAGCTGAGCTGGAAGGTAGGAGGATAAGGGACCTTCAGAGCCATAAAGAACCATGAAGGGCAGAGCAACACCCCTCGGGCCACAGATCTACCCTGCACCAAGCAACAGGCTCTGCTTTCCCCTCCAGAATCTAGCCCTTGCCTTATGCAAACCTCAAAATTGAAAAGAGGACATTGAGACCAGAAAAGAGTAATTTGTCCAAGAAGGAGAAGAGAAGACAGTGTATGATTACAGGCATACCCACAGATTCAGACAACCCATCTCTAAGTGGAGCCTGGGCCTGAGCTGATCTGAGGCAAGGGGTTTTGACTTGCCCTAAAGCAGGTGAAGGATTCCCTTCACAGACGCCCCTTCATTGCTACACCTGCCTTTGGATCATCACGTTCCCCAGAAGGAGAGCCTGAGATAGGGACTCCTGTGCAAGTGACTTGTTGAGAGATTGATTTCAGGAGAAACCATTAAGGATATAAGAGAAGCAGGATAAGGCAGAGAAAGAAACTATAGAACAACTTCTCAGCTGGAGTCTCCCTCAGCCTGGTCCCCTAGGGAGCTCTGGAGCATGAACCATACCACAGTGTTGTCTTAACGCAAGGCAGGGAGAGGCTAGCCCTTTGTATTCCTGTATCAGTCCATCACTGGTGCTGGGCACCCCTCAAGGATGGCAGCTCTCTGTCTGAAGACTATTTTCTGGAGAGGAGGCAGCTAGGCAGCCAGCAATCCCTGGGGCTGGGAATGGGTGCATGGGGCTAACAGCAGGGAATGGGGCCATGACCATGGCAACACCCTTATCCACCTGCACCCATGGATAAGGGTGACACACAGACATTCACAAGGTCATATCCACATGCACATGTTTCTCTGTAGCCTGTCTATAATCAGCTTATCAAGGTCAGGGAGCAGACCCCTACATGGCTAGGCTAGAAAGGGAAGATGCCAGCACCCTCTTGGTCTTACTCCAAGCTCTCTGCCCAGGACCACCTGCAGCCATCAGAATTGAGTAAAAAGTATGGGCTGGGCTGCTGGCCAGTTCTCTTCATGTCTGACCTCACTGCCTGTATGTGCCTGTGTGATCCTGGTTCTGACTCTGTTCTGGATGTGGCATGCCTGTTCCCACTTCATGTGCCAAGCCGCCACTATGGTCTATGTCCTAGTGTGTGTCCATGTTGCTGCCCCATGTCTATTTTGTTCCCAGAATTTCCCATCCCCTATGTTTTCTCAGAACCCCTCCACACCCCTTAGACTCCAGTAGACCAGAATTGCAGACCCAGGAGCCCCAAGGTCCAGCTTTGGCTCAGCCCTGATTTGCCCAAGGTGACTCTCTGTCAGGTTCTTCCCACACCATCTGGACCACAGATTCCAGGGTGTATGGTGGAGGATAGTCTGGCTACCTCCCCTCTGGGAACCCCAAACTCCCCCATACTCTGGGCTCAGGGCTCAAGGCTGAAGTTGCTGCTCAGCCCATGCTCACACTTTCCCTCACCACACCCCACACCCTTCCCATAAGACCCAGGAGGACAGCTACTCTGAAGGTAGCACAGCAGATATGACCAATACCGCTGACCTCCTGGAGCAGATCCCTGACCTCGGTGAGGACGTCAAGGATCCAGAGGACTGCTTCACCGAAGGTACCAGCCTGGGAAGCCTTTTACCCCAGCCTCAGGCCCACCCAAGGGCCCAGTGCCATGGGGTACCCTCACTCTGACCTGGATATCTGCCCACCTCCTCCATTCCTCTGACCCTGGGGCTTCCTCCTTGGTCTGGCAAGTCAGCCATATGAAGCACTGGTGACACTGCGTTTGTGGTGTGGTAGCACCACTGTATGCCTGCACAGGCAACAGGGCCTGGCTGTAATTTATCCCTATACTACCAGGCCCTGGTTGGTGCTGACACACAGTAGGCCCTCTGTAAATATTTGAGGCAGGTGTGACATGTGACCATATTGATGATTGGTATCTGTAGTGTTTATGGATGGTAAATTTTGAGGATATCTGGGGATAAAATGAAGATCTGTATTGGGGGTTATCTCTGTTGGGGGAGGATCTGCCTTTTCCAAGGCTCAGGCACTATAAACAGGGAGAAGCCCCAGGGACAGAGTACCCTGGCATTTCCCCAGGAGGAGGATTTCCCGGATGAGCAGAGGATAAGCTGGAACCCACCTCAACCCCAGCCTTGCCTGTGCCAAGACCTACCAGGCCTTTCATCCACTCCCTGGGTGCTTAGTACATCCAGCCCCTCCAGGGAGTGCCTGCTGAGTGTGTGGCACCAGGGCAGTGTCCAGAACCCTCTCCCAACCATGTTGCCCTGTCCCCATCATGGTAACCTCTTCTCTCAGCCATTTACTCATCCACCCAAACTTTTGCCATGGACATTCATAGGTCCTGAACGGGGCCTGACCTTCACCCTCTTCCATAGGCTGTGTCCGGCGTTGTCCCTGCTGTGCAGTGGACACTACACAGGCCCCAGGGAAGGTCTGGTGGCGGCTGCGCAAGACCTGCTATCGCATTGTGGAGCACAGCTGGTTCGAGACATTCATCATCTTCATGATCCTGCTCAGCAGTGGAGCACTGGTACCCTCCTGGGGAGGCAGGGAGGGCAAGGAAAGGAAATCTCCAGCTGGAAAGCCACACCATAAACTGGGCCAGAGCCTCTGCTGAGCCCCTAGAGCAGGAATCAGCTCAGACACTCTCAACACCCACAGCACATATGAAGGGCAGAGCAAGAAGGGCTCACAGAGGCTGTATGTCCAGCCCCCCATTTGTTCCACAAAAGGAAATAATTTGATCTAGATCCCCAGCCTCCCACACTAGAGCTCTGGTGACACATCCACCTGTATACAGCATCAGGTGTCCTGTCAGGCTGTCTTAGTCATTTGCAATGCTATAAAGGAATATCTGAGGCTGGATAATTTATACAGAAAAGAAGCTTATTTGGCTCATGGTTTTGTAGGTTATAAAAGAAGCATGGTGCCAGCATCTTCTTCTGATGAGGGCCTCAAGAAGCTTCCACTGGCTCGGCGCCTGTGGCTCAAGTGGCTAAGGCGCCAGCCACATACACCCACGGTG